CAACTAGTCTTCCTAATTCACAACACTTTTAAATGAACATATGTATCATGAATACATTATATTTGGTTTTTACAACTTAATAAGTGTTGTCAATATATACATTTATAAAGAATTTTGATAATTTTTTGAAAAGCACATTGTCAGGAACAGAATGATTTTGCTCAATAGTAATATGAGTATCACAGAAGTGCAGATTTTGGCTATTTGACAGGAACTCTTTAGACTTCAGTTGACCAACACCATATTGACTAGGGGATACCTTACTGTGTGAAACTTTTTTGATGACACACTAAAGACTGTTCATTATATGCCTCCAGAATTGGTTTCTCTTTTATCTTGATGACTAAATGTCTTAGTCATTATTCTATTGCTGTGAAGAGACACTATGAGATGACCAAGACAACCCTTATAAGAAAAAGCATTTAATTCTAGGGTTGCTTACAGTTTCAGAGGTTTAATCTGTTATCATCATAGCCAGGAACAAGGAAACACGTATGGCAGTCATGGTACTGGACACGTAAATGAATGCACGATATCTTGAAATTCAAGTAATAGAAAGACCAGCCAGCCTTGGCTTTTGAAAACGTAAAGCCCATCTGAGTGGTACACTTCTTCCAACAAGGCCAGACCTCCTAACTCCTCATCTAATCCTTTGAAATAGTGCCATGCCCTGATGACTAAGCATTCAAATACATGAGTTTATGGAGGCCATTTTTAATGCAAACCATCACACTAAAATTCCTTAAATAATTATTTTATAATGCATTTTTGTTGTTGTGGAAGCCATACAAAAAAGTAAAATGCTAATTCTCTGAACATGTTGATTTGGTTTCTTCCAGACTTATTATTTAATTTATTATACATGGTTGAAGTCATCAAGGCAAAGTACATTTTGTCTTGCTGCTTTTATGATTTGCATAAAGAAGGAATGTAAATATTTTCTGCATGCCCTGGAAGTTTATCACCAGCAACAGGAGTACATGCCTTTGGTGATTTAAGAGTTAAAATTAGGTGTATGGTGAGTTAAAAAATCCTATATACAGGTTGCTTTCAGTGACCTTTAGTTATGAACACAAGTGATTTTGAAATGCTGAGGTTTGAAACCCATTTTACCAGATTTCTGAATTTTCACATACACTGAACTAAATATTTTTTTAAAGATTTATTTAGTGGCATCAAGTATTGAACATAGGGCCCCAGTCATGCTAGGTTCTTACTCTATCACTGAACTATATAGACACTGAAAGAACATTTTTTAATGCATTTTATTAGAAGAGCAGAACCCAGTATTTAGTCACTTGAAATTTATTCATAGACGTAAGCATCTTCCAATAGAATAACAATGTTCCCCTTGACAGAAATCAAGGCTGCCAAGGACTGTGTGCAGGTATGTCTATTTTCAGAATAATGAATGACAAATAATGAGTGCTTCTCTATCTCCACTCCTAGATTCACTCACAAGATTCTCACTACCTTCAAAGACCAGACTTTAGTAGTCTGTAAACCATCAAACTCATTTGGTTTAAAAGTATTTTTTTCCATTCTCTAAATATATGCACTTTGGTAAAACAAATTTTAATTAATTGAAAATCTAAGGGTCTTTTTTTTTAAGCAAAAAACGTTCAGTTGAATGAAGACAGAGTTGCTAGGTTCCTTCCATGGATAAAAAAACATTGAAATTTATAAGGTCAGAAATCTATTCTCATCCAATATTTTAATTACTAGACAGAGGAGAATTTGAGCTTTGTCTTCACCATGGGAACACTTGTCCAAATCAACAGTGATCATGTAATCAGATAACTACCACATGAGAGAGCCTACTTTATATAGCTAGAGATTTAGAGGTGTGGATAACCTCAGATGGTAAAACTAGAAGAGAGAGACTGAAGGAAAGAAAACTACTTGATTTCATAAGCCATTGACTTCCACCCAGCCTGCAAATATGTGCCAATAGTAACTGGCTATAAGGTAAACTTACTGGCCTGAAAGAGATATAAAAACAGATTGAAGCAGATGTGAAGTTTGCTTCTTGTGGAACAATTACAGTTTTCTCTTAAGTTTCGAACATTAGTAACACACACACACACATGCTCTCACACACATGATATCTATATATCTATGCTACTGAGAAGTAAGACTGTATAGCCTTTAAATATCATAAATGGAGAGACCCAGGAACTGAAGTAGAAGCCAACAGCCTGTCAGTAGGCTACACATCCCTTGCTAATATTTTCCTGTTACTCTTCTCCTTGTACATCCGGCAGACCTAATGCTCAAACACAGGGTCCATTCTACTCAAAAATTGTTGTATTATTAAACCATTTTCTTGGTAAGAAAACAACACATCACACTTGAATTGTTTCATTACTTTTATTTGGGGACTAAGAACCTCCATATAATCATTCACCCTGCCTCATAGACTTTATATGACAAGAATAAAAATATATGAAAAATGATGACAAAATGAATGTGATATCCCTCATTTTGAAAGAATTCACACACTAAAAGAAAATTTCATTTACCTCACTATTGAAAGTTTTTTCTTTCCTTCAAGGCTGTTTAATTTATTCTAAATAATTATGGGAAACTTCTGAAGTATACTTTCTTGTTTAAATGTCAAAGCTCTAACTTATTTGGGTGTTTTCTCATTCAAAGCATGGCACTAGCAGTAGAAGAAAGCCTGATGTATTTATCAAGTTTGACCCATGGGAAAATGACTGCTTCTATAAGTCAGAAGAATCAAATGATACTGTAGTAAAGCAAAATTGACTTTTAATATTTGTTCACCAGTTCATTGTATCTTACAGAAAATGAAAACATCCTTTTTGTAATACACATTGGTTCTCCTCAAACTTGTACTTAGTAGCTATTAAATGCATTTAAATATCAACCTTCTTTTAATTGAGTGGCTTACTGACTTCTGTATTATTCGTAGCTTTTGTTGTAAACTGTGCTGGCAGTCTTGAGCTATGACATAATTAACTTCTCAAATAGGCTGTCAGCTGGAAATTGATTATTCTCTAAGCATTCATTCTATACAAAACCAAAATGAAACAAACAAATTTTAAAAAGGAGAAAAACAAAACAAAACAAAAAAAAACAAGACTAAACCAAACCTGACAACTGATTCCCTTCTAATTCTCCCTTTTTAGTGGTCAGCCACTCCATGACACCAGCATGTTTTTAGGAGTACTGAAATCAAGAAACCCAGTATGGCTGCCAGCAACCAAATTGGTATTTTATTTGAGTCTACTAATTGCCAGAATAGCAAGCGACCATCTTACTGCATAAAATAGCACTTTAACAGGTACCGGCCCCCTTTACATGAAAGAAAATTTAAATTTACAAATACTATGTTTGGCTAAAAGTTGCTGTGACAAAATATGGCAGCAGTCGTTAAAAGATGGCTTCCAGTGTTAATATGACAAATTCTCTTCGTCCCTATATGTATTTTTAAATGTATTGGTTCTTTTTGCTTAGAGGTTTCAAATCAAGGAGTTTCAGTAAAATTTATAGATCTATTCTGTTCTTTATATATGTGCTATACTATAAAATGTTTTCCTTATTTTGTAGTCTATCTGTCCTCTCTTCACCTTGATGATACTCTGGGAATCCTGAAGTCTACAAAATGATTCCTGATTTAGACAGTGTTATGTCAACCTTCTGTTAGGAATTGTGCTAAGACAATTTTTTTCTTTTGAAGACATTCATAGTGAGATATGAAGTAGGAAAATAGATTATTCGGTGGAGTAAAACAGCAAGATGAGAACATTAAAAGACTCCTTTCAATTAGGAGTTCAAAGGGCACAAAGATTCTGGTCCTTTGTGTGAAATTAGAAGTTAAAAACTCTGCCCAGCAGTGTTCATTCTAGGATGTCTTCAAGAATGGACAAATGGTACGCAATTGATATCGACATATGTCAGCTAACAGTCACTTTGGAGATTTTGATCAGCACCGTCTCCTATACTAAGTATTCAAAAGTTAAGAAATGCTACTGCTCTGTAATGTGGAATTCTATGTCAATAACTGAAAGGAATGTACGTACTTCAGTATAAAATTTATCTACTTGCATTGCAGACAAAATTTTTACAATATAGGTAATGATTGTTCAAGTATGATCTTCCTCTAAAGAGCTTAGCCCAGACCATAAGATGTTTGAGGAGCTAGTTTGGAGTCTCCTCCTTAAATAATATATTAATTGTATTATATACTATTCAATCTCTTTAATTTATGTTCAGCTTAGAAGTCTGAGTTCAATTTATACCAGCACTGTTGGAGTGAAACCCCATGATTTCTTTGGATTCATACGTCTGTATAATCTGCAAATCCTAACTTATACTGCATGCATCACCATTGTCTAAGCATGGGACAGAAAGGATCTATTTTTACTTACAATATTTTATCTAGATAATATTTCATGAGAGTTATGGTTTCACGGACTTCCAACTGCTCTATACCTTCCACACACATGACTCTATATTTATAGAGTATTTTTATTACAGTTATCACAGAGCTTTAAATGCAACCACGGTCAATTCAGGAAACAGATTTATTTAGTTATGTTCATGGGGAAAAATCTACATAAAAACATTGATGACAGCATGCCAGCTATGTTGTATTTGGATTATTATACTAAGGTCTACTCACAAGAATTCACTGTGAAATAATGGGAAACCAGAAATATTACTTGAATACAAATATTGGTCCCTTTGGGGTCTCAGCAGTCATAAAAATAAATTTCAATTTAAGACTGGAGTTGCTAATACTAGAAGTCACTTTTCTGAACCTGGGCTCAACTTTTCACTTAAAAGTATGGAGGTGTAAAGTCTGCTACGACAATGCCAGTATTTTATTTTTGCCAAATTATAACCAGAAAGGAAACTGACAGTGACTGTATTTTCTATCTGAGAGACTATTTTAGAAATGTATTTTTCCCTTCCTTCTCTAAATACAGGTCCTGTTTGGGCACTACATTGTGCATACAAAGGAGAATGATTTAGGATGTTGAGTCTTTATTTCTTAGTTAGGCAAGTTATTCATTCATTTGAAGGTTTTTGTCATGTAATGTAAATAAGAAATATTAAATAGATTAAACTTATTTTTATAGGACAATAATGTTTCATAAGCTAACATAAAATCAAGCTGCTACATTTTACAGATTTTCTGTCCAGCAGTTTATCGCTTTAACTGCCCTGAGTAGATTCTAAATACTGCTTAGCAAAGGTTCTTAGAATTTAAATATGATTCAGTAAAGCTACTCAAAAATAATAAAAACAAGTCTTTTCAGATAGTTGTAATTAGAAGGTAGGACTCTTTCATTGGTAAAGTATTATCTGTGTACTTAAGTCGATACTTTATATAAATGAGTTGACCTAGGAGTTCTAACTGTGGTTTTATTATTCTGCATCTGAGTCTATATGAATTATTATTATTTTTTGGTCAAAAAAGGTAGAATTTTAAAGAGTAAACTATTCTGTATACTGGAGACTTGAAGTATTAACTTTTAGAAAAAGTCTCCGTTGTTCCCTTATGATACTGAGTTTTTGCACCTCCCAGAATCCTGGTTTATGTAAAGAAGCCTGTATTTCAAATTTGTTGTTCTAATTTGTTTAGTGAAGTGCATTTTCAAAATTGTAGAAATATGTAAAATTTGTGCTTGTGGAAGTTACTGCGGCAAGTAGCATTACTTTCCCTTCCTCAGCCTACGGCATGCCCCATTCATGAAATGGCATCTTGTTGGGACGATGTAGCATAAACCAGTTAGGCTCTAAAGCCCGTATTTTTTTTTTTAAGCTTCTCTTATGCTTATATTACTTTGTGATATATATCGACTGATAGCTTTACAAAACAAATGAATGAATTGGCCTTTATGAAAACGACTCTTTTACAGTAAGTGAAAAAGGGTTATCACAGTTTTGGTAACTTGCATGAGTTCATATTAAAAACAAAAACAACCAAAGCTTTGACGGAACTCGAGAACTGACTCTTTCTAGGGCACACTCAGTTGTATGCTCTGAAGCAATAGACCCCGTAGAGCTTATGCTTTTTATCTGGGAAACCCACAAAGCGCACTGCAGCCTCAGTAGGACTGCAGCGCCTTCTTGGCCGAGAAATAGGGTAGCGGACGCTGCCATCCGCCAGCCAGCCGGCATCGCAGCGGTCATAGCCCAGAAGCTTCCAGGCAGCAAATATCTGGCCCACTTTCGCAATCTGAGCACCATCATTGAGACAAGCTTGCACCGCTTCGTCATAGGTGAGCTTGGTGGGGTGGATCAGGTAGTAAAATCGGCCTGTGGGGAGAAGGAGAGAGTTAGACACCTCGTTATGGAACCACAGAGATGCAAGGAGCCAAAAGCAAAGGGCTTCTCAATGAAAGGAGATGCAGAGCAATGTCTGAAATTCGGATTACATAAAATTGCCATTTAAGTGTCGTATTAACAGGCCACTCTAGATTAAATAAATTTGCTTTAGCCTTGCTTCTTGGCGTGTGCTCACACATGCCCTTGTATAGCGTTAAAAAGAAAAGGGTGCTGGCAGATGCAGTTTCTGTTAGCTAATTAGAGACTAAAAGAGCCCTTCTGTGGTTCTAGGGGAGACAGAATTCCACGCTGAAAGAAGGGCTATTTAAATTCTACTTGTAGCAAGGCTGAACCCAAGTACAAGTTTCTAGAGAGGTAAAATTTGAATGTGAAAGGATCAAAAAACATTCTTCACATAAAAGTCCATTTAAAAAAACTCAAAGGCCTCGAGCTCTTTTCATCACAGGTATCAATAAGACCTTATTCTCCACCAAAGCAGACAGCATAAAAATTCGTCAAACACAGGAAGTCATTTGCCACCAATGATACCCTTGCTGAATGCAAATCTCGTCGGCACCCTCTTGCTAGAAGAGGGGTTTGTTAATGATTTAAAACTTTCATCCTTTAAAACTTGACATTTTGCTGGTTCTTGATTGTACAGAAACAGTTACTTTTGACCACTTATTGCAGTATTAATGACTGAGATCCTATTAACAAGATGGAATACATTAGGTACAAATGTATCATCAATTGACAGAACTGGCATACACTGAATATTTTCTCCATTGTCTTAGTTTTAAGTATAATTTCACATTTTCCAATAAACTCATTATATACTATCTTATCCTATGGCCTTCATTAAGCATGGCACTCGTTGTGTGTGTGTGTGTGTGCGTGTGTTATGTGAATGTGCATTTCTGTTCAGTTGTTGATGGTTTTGACTCAGCTAGAGGCACAAACCTTGGTGTTACCCTCAGAAATGTTCTTTCCATCTTTTGATACTGGGCCTCCCATTAAACTGGCCTAGCTGATCAGTAAGTGCCAGGGATCCTCTTTGTGCCTAACTACTGCTGAGATTTTAAGTGCACTTCACCACAGGTGCTGTTTTGACGTGAGTTCTCTGAACTCTATGTTTGTGAGGCAAGCACTTTATACCTGAGATGTCTCCCTATCCCTGAACAGGCTGCCGCATATAAGCTAATGCTACCAGTTCTCTCTACTCTAACCTAGTGAGATTTGAAGTAAGGGTGGGAGCCAGTGCAACATTCCTTAACTAGAGAATTTGGTCCGCCATCTATACAGAACAGCAAACCATAGGACATGAGTTCTAATATGACTTCTACGTGTTTGAAAATGAAATTTGCTTGAGACACATATCCATCTGTTCAATACCATGAATGGCTGCAGCAGGGTGGATGGTCAGAGCTACATCGTTTAAAGCTCTGTTGGGTAAAACAGTGAACTCTAAGTTGTTTCCCTTTTGTTTACTCATGGATCTATTTCCAGGGACCTTAAATATAAAATTATGGGCGTGGAGCTGGATGCGCAAGGATGTGATTTATGCAGTTACTCGGGCTCCGCAATTAGAAGGCCCTATGTTTGTTTAAAGGCTCTGTACTTTGCTTTTGGTTGTTAGTTTGAGACAGACTCACTATATAGCTCAGGCTGGCCTTGAACTTGTAACCCTCCCTCCTCAGTCCACTAAATAATAGGATTATAGGCCTTTGCCATAATATAGCTTAAAACTCTTAATCAGTTTGCACAAAGGTCCCTGCATTTTCTTTTTGTAATAGGTCCCCAAGGTTATGTTCAGGATGGTTTGGTAAAAGGGCTTCGAGTGGGAAGGACACAATGAGTCTGTCATTAGTGCTGTGGAAACCTTCCCTGCCTTTCTCTTCAAGGCTAAGTGTGCTGTATTTGTCTCACTCAGTTCCCAACTTGGCTTGATCTTTGTTGATTGAGATATTGTGATTGGGAAAAGGGAGGGCATGCATGGCCAGGAAGCTCCTTCCCTCAGCACAGAGAGCAGCAGTGCAGCACACTGTGACAGCTTCGACTACTTCATTAAAAATGGTTAAACTGTAGTGAAATCAGGGGTGTGTAGCTTTTGTTGGATTCATGTAGGTATTTTAAAAATTATGACATTCAAGATTCAAGAACATTTTGCCTTTTTAAAAAATATAGTAATATCTTAAAGGATTGCTTTCTGTTTGCTTGTTTTTTTTCATTTGTTTTGTTTTTAGAAGATAAAGTTTTAGTACAGCTTGTTCCCCAGGATAGAGGTAAAGGCAAAGCAGCTGCCATCTTACCATTGAAGTTGGATGTGAAACAGAAGACATCATATCTGCTTTTATCCTTGTCCCAAAACCCGTAGTTCCTGACTCCTGGCACCGTGTTTTGGCCCCCGCAAGGCTCTCGTGGTTTGGTGATTGGGTACTGCACAGATCCGTCACTGAGCCAGCCAGCGTTGCACCAGTCCAGCCCACTCCGCCAGGCGTCGTACAGCTGGTCGAAGGAAGCAATCACAGCATCCTGGTCCAGACAAGCCTGACGTGCCTCGTGAAAGTTAAGATTGTAGCGTCCCAGTCGTGGAAAGTAAGGGAACACCACACCTGTTCAAAGGAGAGACCGGAAAGGTCATTAGTGATAGAACCCTGAGCACGTCCACTTAAGGTGCATGTACAGAAAAAGTGCAGTCTCCAGACAGACTAGGTTTTGGTCAGCTTGGAGTGGTTTCTCCCTGCCCCTTTCTACTTCACACACTTTGTTGTAAAGTATCACATAAGTGGCTATTACTTGGAATGACAACTTTCTTGATTTGCCTTTACTGCCAAGAGCTCAACTTACACTAAAAATGTCTCCTTTCTGAGAGAGATGCAGCCATGTGTTACAGTATCTCAATAGTGCTATTGGTTTCAAACCTAAGAACATACAACTGCTGAGCTTTTACCAAAAGGCAAAAGTCAACGTAATACTAAGGGTTGTGGGGGATGTAGTACTTGGGCAGACAGTGTTTTCAAAAATTCACAAATTTGTTTGTAAGATGTTGTTACGGAGTTAGCAGTTAGTTTCATGTAATCTTTGACACTCGTATAAAGAAATATGTTGAACGATTCAAATGTGCATCTACTATTATATGTACTGCTGAAACCATGCAAGTCACTGTCTCTTCAGGATTATTATTTGGAGAAACTTAAGTTAAATTTTCATATCTAACAAAAACCTCATTAGTCTCATGTTAATACAATAATTCTGTTCTAGAGAAGCACACCCTATGCAAAGCATAATAACTTTCTGTTTCAACATTTCATGTATTCCTTAACTCTTGCTTCCTGACCTCAAAACAGCTAAAAAAGGGGTCTTTCACTTTTAAAATTCCCATTATTTATTTAAGGCCAGGCAAAAAAATCTATTGGAAAGTGAAGTCACCTCTCTCACAGCAGCTACATGGAAGAGATCTGAAGTGGGCTTTGCTTTTACCGTTTTCATTTTTCTCTATTAATGTATTACATTACAAACAAAAACCAAGGTTTTGAAAATGATTTCCATATAAATAGACCAAAATAATTGCTTCTCTAAACTTGTGCTATACAAGATGTGTACAGAGGAAAACATCCATTAACTGACTTGTTTAGTCCTGAAGAGTCAAGAATGTCAGACAACAATCCCTTAGAAAATGCAAAGAGCATGAATTGACATTTGACTTTGTCTGGAAAGAGACAAGGGCCTTCTGAAAGCAGTTCTTTTGCTCAAATAATTATTGGGGGAAACTGAGCTGCCTCATACCCTACATAGGTCTTTAGGATTCATTTCCAAGTTAAATATTCAGAATTGTGTCATTTACTGCATATTAAGGAAGACATCTGACAATGTGTATCTCCTATTGTTAGTAAAAGATAATTCAGAGCAAACATTGTTAGAGATGTGATTCTAACAAATTAGTATCTTTGTACATGGAGTGTGTGCATCTTGTCCCACTGGCCCAGTTATTGTATGGGCTTTAAGTTACAGGCAACAAGACTGCAGAGCCTATTTAAGATCATGTACAATCAATCCTCTAACAGCCAACCATGGGCAGTGCGTTCTTTTCTAAAATATCCTGGATGTTTCTACAAAAGGACTTGAGGTTTTAAAATCAAGGCTTTCTCCCTGTCCCCAGCTGGCAACCCAGCTGGCAGAGATCATTGCAGGAGAGGGTCCAGGAAGGCTTTCTGGTCTCACTCTGCTTTCTCAGGTTCTTGGCTAATGGATCTATCGGCTGGATCAGAGCCATGAGAAGAAGGAAAGGCTCTTGGTTGCCACTGACTATGGCAAGGAGGAGGAGGAACCTGGAGATGGTTCTCAGAATGCTCTGCCCTGCCCAACTATGGCCAGAGTGTGTCCCTGAATGGAAGTGCTACAGTGCTCTCTGTATTATGGTAGGCTCTCTCTGCACCCTGTGACATGGGTTCTCTTTTCTCAGCAATCCCAGATGTGTTTCTGAGAAGGAAAATCATCTATCGAGCAATGATTCTCTTGGTAGCTAGAGTTCAAGGGGCAGAAGAACTCTCAGCATCTTTATCTGAATATAGAAAAATATTTGTGCCACCTTTTCTTTTCCAAATAGTTCATGATAGAAACAGTGGAAAATATAGGAGTCTTTAAAAGACCCAGAAAAAATTCAGATATCAATTTAGTATCCTGTGTCATGATGCTGCTTCTCATGGGCAGTAGAACAGTTTCCTTAGTCCCTGATTAACTGAAATATAAAGTTAGTTTGAATCCAGTATATAAATATGAATATGTATTTATATTTGAGCTGCTTTCTATTTTAAAATTATGTCATTCAATCCTTTTATAAAGTCACAAGACTTTTGTAATTTTTAAAAAACATTTTAATATTTTCTTTAAAAATGAATAATTAACTTTTAAAAATAAAATCTTTGAAAGCATAAAGCATTGAATACCAGGATTAACTAGACCCACAGTCTATATATGTCGTGTTGAACTTCTATACAGCCAGAACAAGTGTTCTGAAGCCATAGAGCTTTGCACTGGATTTTATCAGGGAGATAAAGCTGATTAACTTCTACATGCCTGATGGAATCTTGTGGAATTCATGAGGGCCAGTGGTCAGGGTTATAATTTTCAAAAGACACAAAACCTTTTGTTCTGGGATGGGATAAAAGCTTCCAGAAAACACAGAGTTATGATTTTTGTGAAGGAAACCATCCTACCAATGTAGCCAGTTTCATTCTTCAGTGTAGAACACAGGTGAAATTCATGAAAATAAGACAACTTGAACGATATAGAATGAACTCTTAGCACTTTCCTGGAGTGATGACTGAGAAGTAACAAGTTGAAGGTGAGGGCACTTCTCCTTGTATAGCTTTGTATTTGTTGACTTTTAAACCTATTGAATGTATCATATACTCAAAAAATAGAAAACCTCCCCAAGTACCTGAATTATTTGATATTTGATTTCTTAAGGACCCTGACCATTAAAAGAATCACTTCTTTACAAGAATATTTAAGTAAATCCAGAGGTTACTTTTTCTGCTAAATTAACTTCTGCAGTCATCTTACAGAATACAATTACATGTATTGCACTGCAATTGTCCTTTACAAATCTTACCATTAGTTGGAAACAGAGATAATTTTAGAAGCATAATAAAAAAAGAATCTAATTTGAATTTCTCAATAACCACATAATGGGATTTAAGTTTTGAATAGCATAAGGCTATTTCCAAATATTATTAATTCAGTTCCATTGCACGATTCTCTTTGTTATGAATAGCTTCAAATTTGCACATGAGTATTGTACATACATTTCAAAACTGAAAACTGAAATCATATGCAGATGGCAAAATATAAAAGAAAAACTTGGTAGGCAAAGACTTATGGGTTCTTCCATTATTGCTACAAGAACTATTACATGTTACCCTGTGGGAAAATAGACGCATTATTCCTTTAAAGTTGAGCATGCTTTGCGAATACCTACCTTGCAACTCCAATGCCACTACAGCAGTATCATCTTCTAGTCCTTCAATCACCTCACACTTATATCTTCCATAATCCTCCAGGGTAAGATCTGTGATGACCAGGGAGGCGTCATTATCACTGCCTCCCTTCAGAAACACTCGACCTTGATAGCCTCCATAGGTCTTCTTGTGATATCCCATGGAAACAAAGACATCCACTTCCCTGAGGTAATCTGAAGTTAGCTTGGTCCACTTAATGCGGATTTTGTGGATTCCCGAGCCAAATGCTGTAGGGTCTCGATAAAATTTACATGGCAGTGTCACGTTGCCACCTCTGTGCGAGAAGACCTTAGCTTGTTCTGCTTCCACAAGTAGACGAGGGCCATTTTCCGCTAGAACATGAAAGGGAAAGGAGGAGAAGCAGAAAATAATTTCATGAGTTTTCAGACTCTATTATACAATGAAAGGGACAATCTGATCCATCCTCAATGTGGTTGCTGTGAAGCATACATTAAGATATCTCTATTAGCCAAGAGGTGTCCGCAAGCCAGTATAAAACGGGGAGTGATGTGTACAGTCATCATTATAAATTATGGGATTCAAGCAGCACTAGTGATCTTTGCAATAATTCTAAATACTGTTTGAATTCCTTTCAATACGAACCCCAAATCTTTCAAGATAAAGTAAGCTTGAACAGATTTTCTACTACTGTTAAGTCTGAAATACACTTATAGAAAAACTTTAAAGAAACACAGTTCATTTGTGCCTTATCATTATGGTCGTGCAAGTACATTTATATTTCTGTCTTCCTTTTATAAGCACTTCTAGAGTATGTCACGCAACATTCATACAATCCATTTCAACTGAGACTGGGAATCATAAGGTAGTCTTAATGCTGGGGATAAACCACAGTAAGTTTTGAGCTATATCCTTCAAAACTTCAAAGCTTAAAGTGTTAAAAATCATACTTAGTTTGTACTATCCATTAACTATTTCAGTCTTTATTCCCTTCAGGTGGCCTCTGTTCCTCTCTATTTCCTTTCTTCCTCCTTCTCCTCTTGTTTTACACTGAACACTTCCACCTTTATTGTTCTTGTCCTTTGGTTTCCTGCCTTCATTCTCCAAGGACTTCATAGCTTTCGAAAGAGCACTGCAATAATATAAGTCGCCAAGTCAGCACGGCTGTCTCTTTTAGAAAGCCAGCTGTTATTTTCAGAGCTCGGCTTTCCCTGGGGTTTCCCCTCGTTAGAGCTTTATGTTTTTGACCTTGACACATTCTATTGAGGATGTTTGAGATATGCAAAGGAAAAAGTGTGAGGACTCTAGGACAAGCATACCTCTTATCTACACACAGTTTTCAAATCACAAAAGCTGCCTTTTACAGAGCTTGGCAGTCCTTGCACCCTTAGAACACTTGCTTTTGAATAATTGTGGGCCCTGAATCTTTTAAGATGCTTAAATCACAAGGACAGTGGTTCTCAACCTTCCTAATGCTATGACCCTTTAATACAGTTCCCCATGGTGTACTGATCCCCAACCACAACATTATTTTCATTGCTACTTCAAAGATATAATTTTGTTACCGTTATGAATCATTTTGTAAATGCTTTTGGAGATAGAGATTTGCCACAGGGGTCACAACCAAAGGTTGAGAAACACGACATCAGGAAGAGTAACCATTTTCCTTGAGATAGAACTTAAAACTTTTTTAATGACACATATATGCCAGATTATGATTTAAAATAAAAAAATCTAGAATCAGATGCTTTTGATGCTATTGTGATCAGAATTTGATATTCAAAACTTAGGATATCATTGCATTTATGTAAATGAGTCCCAATCCTCAAAAACAGAAAGGTATAGCAAAGTCATCAATGTTCCCATTTTCAATAGATAATGAAAATAAAGAGTAAGACTTCATAAAGTAGCTAATTAAAATGAAGCACAAGCACGGTTCATTAAACATTTGTATATATTCCAATCATTCTCTTCTTATTTAGTACAAGAGAATCTGAAGAGGAGAAAAATAAATCTCCCTTTTACTCTACCCTACATTTACTTTCCCCAACTCCAATATCTGTATCTAAGCTCTAACTAAACATGTCTAGTCATCTTTCCCGGGAGGGGTGGTCATGGGGTATTGTGCTGACTAACCATGCTCAATTTGGTTGTTTGAATAGGATTGACCCTCATAGACTCATGTATTTAAATGCTTGCTCCCTAGGGAGTGACACTATTAGGAGGTGTGGCCATTGGGTAGGTGTGGTCTTGTGGAGGAAGTGTGTCATGGTGGAGGCGGGGCTTAAGTTCTCATATGCCCAAGCTAGGTCCATTTCAGGGTTTAATATGCTTTCCAGGGTGTATGGTAGTCTAGGGTTCTTTTTTATGGAAATGATGAATTTCCTGAAATTCAAACAAGTCTTGGAAGGATGCCTAGCACATTTAGTAATGAATGATCATCAGTGTTCACTAACTCACACCCCAGCATGACCCTGCTGATGCATTTGGTTTGCATTTGAATGAATGTTGCAGATTATGTAGCATTAAGCATGGCTGGAGCAGGGTGTGTGTGTCAATTACCAAACAGAATATATGGAAGAGTGAAACATGGTTAGCAAGTCCGAAGCTTTTAAATTTCTGTCAAAGCCCTACTATAGCTCAGTTCCATGTCTACTTCAGGTGAACACTTAGTTTAATCTTGGTACCAGGCTCTGTGTCACAGCTTTCATTACATGGACTAACTCAGAAATGCACCAAACAAGGACGTGAAAAGGAAATGACAACAGCATCAGAAAAAGAGCAAAGATCACTGAAGACAGGATGGACAGTGTTGTCTAGGGCAGAAAATCTTGGATCTGATCATGTCCTTTTAAATCCAGGCTTAGCACTATATATTCATGTTTCCATCAAAATTCTTTGATTAACAGAGTGATCTCACAGCAATACGAATACACTATAAAATTAAGCCTGGATCATCAGAATCAGTACTTCTTGTTTTTCTTTACAAAATGAAAGAATAAATACAACAAGGCTGCAATGTGTGCTGCTTTGGTTCTTATTGTCCACTGTAGGTTCATGCAAACACTTAAGTAGACTGAAGACCTTGTCCTTAAATGAGGCTGTTTACTCAAAACATAAAGCTAATTTGGGAAATTAAAGATGCTCAGTGGAGTATGGGGCTTTTCGGAAGAGCATCTTTTAAGTGGGAAAGTACTTGTTTATATCAGAAATGGTGAGTGATGGTAACGGCAGGGACTTGATGCCCTTCCAAGTGCAGTGCTTCCTCCAAGGGAAACAGCAGGGCATGGTGAGAAAGACAACCTGGGATGCACTGGACTGCTGGCAGCTTCTGATTAGTTTACAGACTGCTGTGCAATCTGGAGGAGAGATTAGGTGCAGACAATGAAATAAGCCTGACCTTTATGTCTGCCACGTACTTTAGATGAACTCTTTAAACAATAGGTCAAAATGATTGTACAAGAAGTATTAGAAACACGGCTTTGAAACGATACCTCTTAGTTCTATTAGAAGTGTAAGGTTTTTGAAGTTCATATTCAGAAAGAAACCCTACCTGGGAAAAAGGTACTGTGAATCAAAGCTTATCTCTTTGAAATAAAGTCATGCAAGATAACAAGTCTTGTTAGGTTATTTGCCCCTATGGTGTATGGAAGGGAGCAGGTTCCAGAATTTTAGATTTCTTAAATCAATTGGAAAAAAAAAACGTGGTGACTTATTTCTGATAGTTACATAGGAGAATTAAAAATTACTCCTACAAGAAAAACAATAAAGCAATACTGCTACCTTTTGTGTTGCTTTGCTTTGCTTTTTTGGTGAGTGGTAAGGTTTATAAGGTATATGTGGCTCTGAGCACATACATGCTTGCATGTTCAATATGTACATAGCCATATTTAAGTTCCATTCACGTGTACATGCAGGGTCATTACTTACTTTCACTGTAGTGTGCAGCCATCCACTATCTCTTTTCAGAATTGTTCATCACATAGAAAAGAAAGCTGTTTTTTCTTCTATTCTCAGCTCATAGACAATAATGTAGCTTCAAGCACCCGGACAAGTATTCAAAAGACCTTGAGCAAAGTTTTAAAAATAGTCCCTAGAAGAGATGAAAAATGTGTGTGTGTGTGTGTGTGTGTGTGTGTGTGTGTGTGAAGGGGATGTTTGTCTGTCTGTGGGGCATACTTCTATGTTTTAAAAACTCTGAACTTTGCATATATATTACATATGCATGATGGAATGAAAAATAAATTAAAATGTGAAGAATTCCTTAATAAATAAATAGCCAACTGAAAACAACAGATGCTTGTCTATGGACCCTCAGGAAAGAGATACAAGAAGTCCCAAGGGATGATTGTGGTATATGGACAGGAATGAAGTATTAGATTTTTTTTTTTTAGCAGAAAGCTTGATGCTCTCTTAATAAAACTGATATCTCTAAGCAAGATGCTTTATTGCACTTTCCTTAGTCTTTAAAGGCAGTGTTTCTAAGAACCCTCATGGTGTCTGGTTGTGAATTATAAATGAAAGCTCCAGTGCTGGAAACAGGGTAATGAAGGTCACCCTTTCAGCGGTTGATTGCCGCTGCTTTTCTGCTTTCAGTAATGTTGCTTTCAAATTGCACAAGCTGCAAGAATATGCTTCTTGCATCCAGTTTACTGCCCCCCTTTTCTGGGGGTGCCATCTGTAACAACCACAGACTCTCTTTGGCCAATTCTGTCTCATGAATCTACTGGACTATCTAGAGCAATACATTTTACAGCTTTCTCAGACAGCATGCATTTTTCCTCTGAGACCTGCATTTTCTGGTTTGATGGGCTATGGAGCAAGTATCCTCTTAGTAGCACACTGTCTCCTCCCTCACCTTCTGGCTAAGTTGACTGTAATGGGAAATCATTCAACACTGAACAGTGGTATTGTCTGGGGCAGTCCTGATCACGAATACATGTTATTGTTATTGCCAACTTCACACTGAAAAGGAAAGACACATGCCACCACTGTTTCAAATCCTGAAGGTGCATTTATGGCAACGTTGAAAATATTCTTGACATTGAAGGCAAACATGTCTGCTTGCGCTAGGCCTCAAGAGGCCCAAAAGAACTCTATTTGGTCAAATGAATTACATTTTTAAAAAATCTGAACTCTGAATTGTACGCTTGAATCTGTGTTAAGGTACTGGCAAGCACTCTCTCTTCAGTACTTGCATTTTCTTCATATTTTAGTATAGGAGGACATAAGAAGTAAGGGTGGCTTATCTCTGTTTTACCAATAGAATTCTGTGTGGACTCTTCCTCCCCTGTCAACTATGTCTTTACTTCTCACTGGTAAAGGCACCAGGTAAGCATCTGGGCTATGAATGACTCTTAGATCATTCTGCCTA